AGCACTCACCTGCGCCACGGGCCATGCCAAATGCACCCAACCTGTTTACTTCGATCGAGTTACTCACCTCAGGAACATACTCACCGCGCGCCGCGCCAGGAACCACCCACCGCCACCACCTGGCTACCCCGCGCCAACCCCACACGCACCCACCGTCCGCGCGCCGTGCCTGAAAAACGCATCACGCGCTGCCTCGCAGCCCAATCCGTTCGATCGCCACCTGCCCACCCGAGCCTGCGCGGATCCCCGGGGGCGGCGGACCGCACGCCAAGAGTGCGCCACGACCCCTGTATGTATTATGTTATGCAGTCGCATCAAACCAGGACAAGACGCGTGATTAACCCACCCGCGTGCGATATGCAAAGAAACCAAAACCAAAGAGAGTAAGGAGGGGAGAGGAGGATCCGGCCCGGGAGCGAACGTGCGTGTCGAAAAGGAGGAAGGATGGAAGGATAAGTAGGTCAACTGAAGCTAAATTCGAGAAGAAAAGGAAGGAAGGTAAACGGCAGGTGGGGGCGGGGAACGATAACGTAAAAGCAGCGCAGAGTACACTTACTCGTGTATATGTGGAGATAGTTCAATTCGTAGGGTTCACGGAGGGAGGGAGGGAATGGAAAGACGCGCCGCAGCCGAGTCCGTCAACGTATCTCTCGGAGCGCCGTTTTGGTGTTGGCTGGCTGGTTGGATTGATTTCTTCTTCGTTCTTCTCCCCCCTCCTCCTTCTTCTTCTCGTCTCGTCGTTTTCTTCTTCCCCACCCGAGCGCTCCTCACTCATCCTTCCCCCGCCCGTCCGCCTCCGCGTCGACCAGCGGCATAATCGCCTTGTCCGCACTCCCGCGCTTCGCGCGCCCCGACACCGACGGCGGGAGCTTCTTCTCCTTCGGCTCTGCATCCACATCCGCGTCGATATCCGCGTCCGCATCCTCCTCGTCGCCATCCTCCTCGTCGTCCGAGCGGTTATCGTCCGTCTGCGCGGTCATGATCGATCTGCAGAAACGGTCCGCTGGTAAGCTCTCATGTTGCCAGGAAACGGGAAAGGGCAGCGTGGTCGCGGCCACCGAATCGAGCCGACGCACAGCTCATTCGTTAAAAGAAAAAACACGCACCGCACGACGACCCGGATGATGAGGTAATACCAGAACAGGTTCAGCGCCTGCAGCACGCACAGCGTGTAGAACATCTGGTCGCGCATCCACAGCGCCATCCACGCGCCGGCGCGCGGGTTCCACTGGCGCGCGTGTTCGCTGCGGAGGTGTGAGTTGTGCGTGTGAGGGACGGAGAGAATTGGGTGCGGTTGGGTGCGGGTGTTTGGGGTGGGTTGGAAAACGGACGGGAGAGAATGCGGGGGAGACGGGGGAGCGTGGGAAGGGAGGGGAGGGGGAGCGAGGGACACAGAGAAGTGGGGAGAGGGGGGGGGGGGGGGGAGGGCAGGACGAGCGAAGAAAGTGGAGTAAACAAGAACGACCACGCACGGCACCAAATGGAACTCGTAGCGCAGCGAGTACAGGATGCGGATCGAGATGTAGTGCCGGAAGTACCTGCCGGTCCAAAGTCCAAACAAACCGTTAGCGTCGAGTTGCATCACTGAACTGCCCAAACAGGCCGGCGTGGAGGCGAACCCTCGTCGGACGAAAAGCGAGCAGCGGGAAATCGAACACCGAGCGCCAGTCTAGCCGTCCACAAAACACGAAAGCGCCGCACGAAGCACGCGACGAAAGGAAGCGGGAGATACGGGAAAAAAGAAAAAAGAAAGAAGAAAAAAAAAGACGCACGTCCACACGACGACGAACACGCCCAGCGACACGACCTTGGCGCGCTCGAGCTGCAGGTAGTTGAGGAGCTTGGAGAACTAGGGCGCGCGCGTCAGTCGGCAATTGGTTCGCCGAGGGAAGGGGGCAGTCATATGTATGTATGCGGGTGCGGGAACGCGGGAGACGAAAACACATACGGAAAGGAGGGGTTTGGACTGGACACGGGATGGGATGGCGGTGCCGCCAAGAAACGCGCGGGGGGTGTAGCTTGGGCTCGGGACGGGGCGGTGTGGTATATATAATATAGCGGGTTCGCGGGATGTGATGTGATATAATATATAGCGTGTTCGGGGTAGAAGACATACGGTACGACAGACAGGAATCGAGGACACAAGGAGAACAAAGAAAGAAAGAACGAAAAGAAACGCACCGCCAAACACAAATCGGGGACGTCCATGCTCATGAACACGGCGTTGCCGAGGAGCGTGACGTTCATGAGGTAGCTCCAGCTGCGGGCGCATTAGTGGCGGCTCAAACGCAGCGGGAGGGTATGTGACAGGAGGAAGAAGGGCGCCGCGCCGCGGGATGAGATGCGAAGAAAAAAAGCACAAGACGATGATACGATACGCATAGCCATCCCCACGGGACAAAAGCGCCAAGAGCAAACTACTGCGGCGCCACGCGTCCAACTGCGCATCCACCATCCGACGCCGAACGCACACCCGCGGGACCGCAGAGGGCACGCAAGAGAAAATAGGGCGATGGGCGAAGGAGATGATCCGCCGCGCAGCCCCGCCGCAGAAACGGAACCACGCCGACCCCCGGGGAGACAGGAGCGCCGGCATGGTAGGTATAGAAGCACGTGCGCGAAGCTGCCACTGGAGCAAAAACAGAGAGAGCGGGGAAAAACGGAGAAAGGGAATAAAGAAATCAGGAAACGCACCTGACCATCCACACGGTGATGCAGTGGTGGAGGACGAGCTCCCAGTGGTCGGAGCGGCGCTTCTCGAGGCCGAGGGTGAGGACCTGGCAGCGCGGGTGAGCGTCAGCGGGTGTGAGAGCGGTGGCGCGCGAAAGATAAAAAGGGGCAAGGGAGTGTCCGAGTCAGAGTCAGAGCCATTGAAGATGACGACGAGGAGGGCAAGAACGGATCTGGTTTCGAACGCGAAACAGTGGATGGGCAGGGAGCTGAGAGGAATGGAGGAGGGTTGATGGGGGAACGTGACGGGATGCAATGAGACAGGCGGAGGTCGAAGCACCGAAGACAGTGAGGGGTTGATGATGGATAGATTGATGGGAGACGGAGGGGAAGCGCAAATTACAAAGGGGGAGGGGACAGGGATACGAACCAAGAACTGCTGCAGCCAGTAGGCGATCTGGGAGAGGTAGTAGCGCTTCATGGCGCCGCTGAGTGCGGCGTGGGGGTAGTCGCGCCAGAAGAACTCGGTGCGGAACCACCATGTGCGGGACTGGGACATTACGTACTGGGGGAGGCGGGTTAGCGAACAAGAACAGTAGGAGGAATGGCGGGCGGGAGACGGCGACTCACCACGCCCCACGCCCCAAACACGGCAAAATAGACGACCGCATACCCCTGCTCGCCGAACCGCAGCAGCTTCGTCTTCTTCGTGATCCCGCGGCTGCGCGCGAGCGCGGGGAACGCATAGTGCGACAGGACGAGGCGCAGGAACGAGAAGAGCACGACGGTGTACGCGAGCAGCGCGAGGTCGCCGTAGCCCTTCGCGTACAGCGTCACGTCCGCGCCCGGGGCGGCGGTGCTCCCCGGGGGTCATGGGGCGGCGCGGGGAGCGCGTGCGAGAGGCGGAAGCACGCGGCGAAGGGGTTGGTGCGCGGGCGCAGGCCGGGCGGGAGGCGCGGGAGGAGGAAGTGCGTGGGGAGCGCGAGGAGGGGCGGGGCGGCGAGGAGGAGGGCGGCGGCGAGGGGGAGACGGCCCAGCGCAGGAGGGGCGAGACGGGGGTTGGGGGGCGGGGCCGCGGCGGGGCGACGGGGGGGCGGTGACGGGGGACAGGAGTTGCTCGGGGTGGAGGTGCCGCTGGCGGTGGGGGCGATGAAGGGGCCTGCTACCTGGTGCAGCGGGTCGCTGGGGGGAGGTTAGATGGGCAGAGGTAGCTGGGGACGGATAGCGCACTCGATTCTGCTCTGGTTGCGGGGAGTCCTGGCAGTGGAGATCATCGACGCTGGATGTGGCGTGTGTGCAGACCCATCATTTTATGATTACATGCACGTGCCTGCCACACAGCCCTGCCAGCTTGGCCCCTAGCCAGCGCATTGACTCAGGACCGGACTGTCATAGCGCACTGCCCGCAGCCACGCCCCGTCCCGCCCCTTTCAGACCCGGTGTGCCCGCACGCATTCAGTGTTTCCAGCGGCCATCGCTGCGTCAGGCTACTCGCCACCTCGCGCCGCTCCGCCGCTCTATCACCTCAAACAGCAACGTGTGTCCCACTTCTGCCCTGACAGGCCTGACAGTGATGGATATGCATGGTCCGTTCTAGGACTCACCCTTCACCCAGTTTCGGATCTCCATGACGTCGAATCGACTGCGCACATCAATAGCCTATCGCGCGCCGATCCCCGTTCACGCCCTCGATTCAAAAATTGCCCCGGGCTGCTCGGTCAAGCCTCGTGTGACCCGTGCCTCCCACAGTTCTTCCAATGACGTCGAATCTTCGCACACCGCCTAATTATAATCCACCATTGCGTCACCGATCCCCATCCTCGAATGGAAAATGCGCCTAGCCCCAGAACCCAAGTGTCACGCGATGCCCACCAGCGCTCTCCCCCATGGACGCCGTCCTTGTCATATATCACCTCGCTCTCCATGCCCCATAAATAATCTGCGCCCCGTTACAATCCAACGTGGTCGCCACTCTGCAGACCATGTTCCCACCCGAGCCAGAAGCCTACCGTGTGTCTCTCACACACACTTGCGTGCCTGATGGATCTGCGTGGTCTCTCCCACACTTCTTCCAATGACGTCGAATCTTCACACCGTGCACCTAATTATAATCCGCCATTGCGTCACCGATCCCTATCCTCGAATGAAAAATCCGCCTTCGATAGAACCCAATTGTCACGCGATGCCCACCGGATCCACTGGGCGCCCGCTGGATTTCTCCCCCATGGACGTCATCGTCATAAATAATCCGCGCCCCGTCATAATTGTCCATTTGAATGGGTCGCCACACCGCCCAGCCCATCTCCCCACCCGAGCCATCACAACTCATTGGCTGCGTAGTGTAGCGGTTATCACATCAGACTCTGACTTCCGTATCTCGACTCTGGTGACCCCGGTTCGATTCCGGGCGCGGCCTTGTCTTTGCAACACTTGAATTTTTGATCTTCCTTCCTTTTCCACGTTTTTGGTTCTCGTGACAGGGTATGTTCTCACCCCTGGACCTGTAGGGCACTGTAATCATCTCATAGATATTCCAGACAGGCAGAACGAAAAAATGGGGATAGAAGCTATGCACCCGTCCACTATTGCAAAAAATCCTCTACGACTTACAGACTCGGCAGTCCCAGTATTGCATCGCATTGCATTGCATCCACCCCTGTTCGGCTTAATTCCTCATGATCACACGATTTCTCTCCACAGACCACCCAAGAGTCCTCGCTCCTATCCGGCCTCCCTGCATCCTCGACACATTCCATTTCCTCCTTTCTTTGGTTCCGTGACTTTGTCGGTGGCGACGGGCTGGATACCAAGTAGGACCGGCGGAATCGCCTTTCTCTCCACTTTCTTCAACTCATCCACCTCGTCATGCTTGAACACGTGCGTACGAACCACACTACGCCGTCCTTTGATGTATGTCACCAGAGCTGGAGGCAGATACCAGCTGGTTTGCCCTCCCGGGTATGCACAGTCGCGCTTGCGGCGGACAACACGTCGCTGATATGACATCTCGCTCCCCGCTCGGCACGGATTTTCCGGATCAAGCCGTGCCAACATCCTCGCCGCGACTGCCAACCCGGTTTCCCGCGTCTGGCGTCTGCAACCCTACTCTATGCACCCACTATTCAGCGACACAGCTTCGGGGTGCAGGACGAGAATGAATGGCTCGATCGGAGGCAGGGTACTGCGGGAGCACGGTGCTCTGGGACGACCTGAATCGTCAAATAAAAATCTTGAAGTGTGAGGGAATGTGAGCGCGGATGCGCGGCGTAAACCAGCGGATACATGAAACGTGGAGTCTGACCGGGGATGAATGAATATGTAGCGTGGCAGCAGAAGCGCGGTGTGCACGTAAATGGAGAGGCAAAAAAAAAAACCAGACTGGGGACACGGCTCTGAGTGACGGATGTGGAATTTCTCCGCAAGTGGGCGGAATGCCGCGGTCTGACATAAAAAGACCCGAGCGAGCGTGAAGCGAAAATGCGTATCAGTGAGACGGAGGTTTTGCGTGGATATGAATAGCGAGCGTAACGCCCTGGGTGCTGCGGCGGACGTGAATGCACAAGTATATGTGCGCATGAAGTTCCAAGTCGGCAGATTTAAGCTCTGGCCACAGAGGCATGGCGTGGGACATATAATGCCGGCGGTGGGCGCAGAGCGCTGGACATAAATTGGTGGGTATCAGCCCTGCATGAGCATGCATCTGTGCATGGGCGCGGATCGGTAATTATCGAATGGGCGGGCGGCCCCGAATGGACGTGGATGGGTTCTGCCCCGCATAATCATGAAACTCCGAACGGGGCGGATAGGGAGGCCACAAATGGATGTGGATGGCCATGGGAAGGTACAGTGTCCCGAGCGAGCAGGAAGCTCCGAATGGGTGTAGACAGGAAAGTCCCGCATCGGCGCGGAGGCGCCGAATAGACGTGAGTGGAACGGATACGGAGGTCCGAATGGGCACATAGGCCCCAAATGGACGTGGGTGGAAGATGAAATGCCCCGAATGAGCGCAGAGCCCCAAATGGGCGTGGATAGGAAAGTCGCGGAAGGACGCGGAGGCCCCGAATGGACACGGAAGGGTAGGTGGACATCCTCCAGTTTCTCCAAGGGTTTCTCTCGTGATTTTTTTGGGCCTCAAAAGCCACAGAGTTGCGAGGAAAGAGAAAATATTAGGTCTGCGTTTGAACATGGATATGGCATTCATTGTTCTCTAACTAAATATCTTGTTTCGAGCGTGCTGCCAAGAATGCTAAGAGGGACATCAGCGGGAGGAGGAGCGAGGGCATTTTTCTTCTACATATGCAACTCTTTCCTTGGGTTCATCGAGGTATCCGTACCCGAGTACTAATATTGTGTAGAAGAAAAATCGTTGAATTTCAACATCCACCACAAGGAAAATACGAAGCCCATACTTTAGTTCAACTGGCCACAAAGGCATACTGACCCGAGCCCACTGCTACTCGCACAGGCTCCCCAGGCGACGACGCTAGAACCGTAACCCCCTCCCTATCCCGCAAATCCACACCACTCTCCGAGAGCTGACTTGAAGAACTGCTGAAGGAGACCGTCGCAGTGATGCCGACGGGGACGCCCACATTGATGGCGAGGGACCCAGCATCGCTCGTCCACGCGACACTGAGGTTGCCGAAGGGCGTGAACATCCAGCCGCTCGCAGAGGCGATGCGGTCGGTGGCAGCCGGATTGATGTCCACCGTCTGGAACGCGACGCTGGTGGACTGGATGCCGAGGACGTGTTTGAAGAACCAGTCTTCGAATGTACCCAGGAAGGACTACCGCGAGATGAAAGTAGGGCCGATCGAGATAAATTGAGGCGTACGTGATCATGCGAGCGCGCGTCCACAAGCCAATGTTCCCACTAAATACGACGATGGAAAATCAGCATCGGGAGCAATTTTGTGCCAATGAAGTGTATACCGTCGTGGTTGCACCGTTCTCGATCCAAAATCCCCAGCTCGGGAATGTCGTCTGCTCGGCGAGCGCGAAGGCGGTATCGACATGCCCGTACGCAGTCAACATGGGCAGCAAATATTTGGTGCCGAGTGCTCCAGTATTTAAGTGCATGCCACGATTTACCACATCGTTGACAATGCTGCCCGCGACGGCTGTAGCTGTCTCATTATCCTGTGTAAGATTGAACGCCAGGGCGAGGATGTTATGTGATTGTCGGTAGCCGCTATCTCCCACACCGTTATAGTAACCTGCAGTGGCATTGAAAAAGGCAGCGTTGAAGGAGTCTTTGACAGCGGAGGCCTGAGCCGCAAAGGATGCAGCGTCGTCGGAGTTTTCGAGGACGAGAGCAATATCGTGCATGGCGGTGAACATGCGGTATCTGCACCAGTTAATAATGTCAGTACTCCGCTCGTACGACGGAAGATCACATACAAGAAAGCAGTGGCCGGCACACGAGAATCTTCTGGAGGATTGCCCCCTTCTGGCGACGTTTCCTTCATGTGGTAGATAAATACAGAGCGGGGGAAAAGCCGCTGAGGTTCTTACAGGTGTGTTCCAATCGCCCAGCCAAGTCGAGGCAATATTACCCGGCGATCGGCCCAGTTCGAATTCCATGTAGTTTTTCATGGACGCGTAGTGGTCTGACAGCACCCGCTTGTCTCCGCGATATTCGTAAATCCACGCGGGTGTGAGGATGAGGGCGGAGCTATACGTGGATCAGCGCCAGCTCTGCTTGCAAAGAATAAATGGGCAGACTTACTGCCAAGTCGGCGCTTGGGTATCCCATCCAAAGCCCGTGTCGGGGCCGATGACGTCTGGAGGGCCTTGTCCCTGCGCTCGCGTTTCGTGGAGGTCGCGGGCGTATTTCGCTAACAGCTCGGAGCTGTCGAAGTTCGAGAGGAACATTTCCTGCGAGAACAAGGTGAGTATTTGCGCTCCAAACATAATCGATTCATGGCGCACGGTTCCAAGCATCGCGTCCCCAGACCTTCAGAAACGCTTCAGCGAATATCAGTATGGAAATTCATATTTATTACCACCCCTTCTTCTCGAACGTCGGACAGTCCGTCGGGATTGAGTGCACATTGTTCAGCATGGTGTACCGCACGGCTGCATGAAGCTTATTGAACAAGTCGCTCGACGAAGCGAAATCCCCGCGCGTTTGAAGGTCATCATGCACTACTTGGCCGATGATATCCTCGGCAGTTGGTGGCGAAGGGCCTGGCCATCCTTCGAGCTTAACATACTGATAGCCTTCCGAAAAACTGAGTATGGACCGTGAACGCGGATGAGAAAAACAGAGGGGCACCTTTATAGGAAAACTTGGGTTCAAAAGTCTCAGCACCGCCTGTGCCCGCGAGCCAAAAGCGGTCAGTTTGCCAGTTATTTGCAAAATTATGCGCAACGTCTAGATGCAACGCATTAATTTCTGGGGTTTGCCCACTATCCAACCAACGACGTACCGAGGTATATCACAGTGCCATCCGAATTTAGCTTCTCGCCAAAATGAATCGTAATGAGCGTTTTCGCCGGGCCTGTCGCGGTTATCTTTGCCCACCCAGCAACGATGCGCTCAAAGGCCGCCACGTAGATGCCAGGCACCGGCTCCGTGACAGAAATGGGGCGAAGCGATTCAACGAGCCGCGTCGGTGGTTGTCTGGCATTAACCAGGATTCCACTTGGGCCGTTTGATACCTGCACATAATCCCATGCGGAGTCGTCGAAGCCCGGATTCTCGTACCCCGGAATAACGTAACTGGCTACGAAACAGAAGATGAGAGGCACTCGAAGCTGGAATTATGGGGAAAGCTACCATCGTAATTCTCCCCGCCGTATATATCATCCAGCCGCGTCGGGCCTTCAATAACCTTCCAAGATCCATCTGAAACGACACGGCCTGTCGTGCCATCTGTGTAGCCAATCGACAGCACACCGCGGAACGCGGGTTCCCCGTGCCACGCAGCGTCAACCCAGTTCCACTGGCTCTCCGCCTGCTGCGTCACACCGTAATAGCTCCTTCCAAGCTCCAGCGCAATGGCGTTCTCGCCCTGAATCAGGAGGGAAGTGACGTCGAGACCAACATACTGCACTTGCGTGTCGTATTTAGTGAATCCCGGTGTGAGGGCGTGATCTGATGCGGGGACGCCGTTCACGGAGATGCTCGCGAAGCCGCCAGCGGAGTAGTAAAGTCTCGCGTAGGAGATTTCCTTGGTGATGGAGAAGGATTTGCGGAGGAGGGGCGCGGGGTGCTCGCCGAGGGGATCCGATACGATGACGCCCGTGTTCCAGGGCGCGACGCCGTACGCGCCGAGGGAAGTCGCGGCGACCCAGGAGGAGTCGTCTGTGGACGAAAGCTCGAATCCCGCATAATATTGGTGTCCACCTTCCACGTCGTATCAGACGCAATGAAATCTGTCGACCCATCGGAGTAGAGGATAGAGATCGCGA